TTTCATTCACTTTTTTCAAAATAGAATTAAAAAAAAAATACTTTGGGGGATCTATTCACTCCCCCTCTAAATAAGTTGTCATTGTCTAACAAGTGGTATCATGAGCTCTGGTTCATTCCATGCTTCAAAAATACTTATTAGATAATGGCTACTGAACCTAAATGGTTGTACAATAGAGTGCATGTATTAACTGTTGAAAACTATGGTTATTGAAAATTATGTATGGGTATTCATATTAATTCATACGATAATGGTATTGTCACACCTAAACCGAAAGCATAATGGTGTTGTCACACCTAAAACAGAAGTATAATGGAATGATGATGATAAGAAAAGTGGAGTTACGATTGGAAAGCACAAAATATTTCATATCTGCTCTTGGTGTTGATGAATTTTATCATATCTCCCATTGTGAAACCACTAAGGCTATATGGGACACGTTACAAGTTGTCCATGAGGGAACTAATGAAGTCAAACAAGCTAGAATTAATACATTAAATCAAGAGTTAGAACTATTTCGTACAAAGCATGGTGAAACCATTGCCGAAATGTAAAAGAGGTTCTCTCATCTCATTAATCATTTAAATGCACTTAGGAAACCATTTTCCATTGAAATTGCTACTAATAAAGTTTTGAGGTATCTTACTAGGAATTGGCAACCAAATGTCACCATGATCAAGGAAGCTAATGATCTAACAACCCTAGATCTTACTACATTGTTTGGAAAGCTTGAAGAACATGATCAAGGACTCACTTGCTTGAAAAAACATGATAAGAAACATGAGAAGAAGCTAAATAAGGAGAAATGCGTGATTAAGGAGGTAGAGAAGAAGTCTATTGCTCTAAAGGCTTCTAGTTCGAGGTCCTAAATAAATGATCAAAGTGATAGTGATATTAGTGGCGACGAGAATTCGAATGATGAAAAGACGTGCTTGTTTGCGAAGAGGTGCAATTGGTACTATTAGAAAGAATGGAGTAAAGCACTACGACAGAAACCTCATCAAGTTTAGAAGACAATTTACACCATCAAGGGAAGATGACAACAAGAAAGAAAATCAAGAGGTATATGTTGCAACTGTGAGAAATCAGGTCACTATAGGTCGGAGAGTCTATCTCTTGACAAAGATAAGGAAAATGGTCAACAGAAGAAGACTATAAAGTCTATAATAGCTTATGTTGCTTGGGAAAGTGATAGTGATTCCTCATGTAATAAAATCTCAAGTGATAATAAAGTAGAGGCGAATATGTGTCTCTCGGCCGACCAACGTCATAAAAGAAAAAGAATGTAAGTCATTCTAAATATGAACATGTTGATAAGTTATCTTATTCCAAGTTACAATTAGCTTTTCAAAATCTACATAGAGAAACAATAAATGCTTTTAAAAAGTTAGCTTCACATAAAAAGATCTTTTCAAAATTAAAAACTAAAGCTTTAGAACTAAAAAGAAATTAAAGCTCTAAAGCAGTCTATGGTAGATAGTCTAAAAGTTAATAAGGAGGATGAATAATTTTTGAGTTTAGGCTGTGAAACTTTTCACACTTGGCAAAAAGAGTCTAAAACTCTTAAAGCTAAATTGGACAAGGCATTACAATCAAATGTTATATTTTCTATTGATCCCTTGAAGTTTAAAAAGTCTTTGAATAAACCTCATAAAAGGTATAACTTTGCTAAAAAGGATCCAAATAGAAAAAGTAAAACTCTTCATAATTTGTTTTGTCTCTATTTTTGCCAGAATGGTCACACTATTGAAAAATGCAAGTTTAGGAATTTTTTGGTTCCTAGAGGTGTTTTCAATGGTTGCCCACATGCAACCATGATTTCACTCACTCTCAAGGAACCAATAAAAATTGGGTATCTATCACCTTTATTTGATCTTGTAGGTTAAATGTCTTGGCTCTATGAAGGGAAGATATATTCTCGATAATGGATGCTCAAGCATGTGATGGGATACGTTTTCTTATTCTTTGACTTTGTGACTAAGAAGAAAGGTTTTGTGTCCTATGGAGACAACTACAAAGATGAAATACTTGAAAATGTAGTATATATAATCCCTCATCTACTACTATCTCTGATGTTATGTTAGTTGAAGGCCTTGGACATATTCTTATCAGCATTAGTCAATTGTGCGATAATGGGTATAAAGTATCATTTACAAAAACTCATTGCATGATTATACATAATGAAAAGAAAGATTATATGTTTAATGGTATGAGGGTAAACAATATCTATATGCTTGACTTGAATGATGTATCTTTGATCAATGTTAAGTGTCTTGTTATCATGAGTGAAGACTCATAACAATGGCATGGACGCTTAGTTCATGTCAACTTTGATTTACTAAACAAAGTGGTTTCAAAATATTTAGTGATCGGTCCTACCTAAAATAAAGTTTTCAAAAGACCACCTATGTCAAAAGAGGAAGTAAACAAGAGTCTCAATTAAATCTAAAAATATTATTTCAACTTCGATACCTCTTGAGGTTCTCCATATGGATCTCTTTAGTCCCTCACAGACTAAAAGCTTAGGTGGTAACTACTACGATTTTATTAATGTAGATGATTACTCTAGATTTTGTTGGACCATCTTTTTGCATAATAAAGATGAGACATGTTTGGCTTTCACACATTTTGCAATGTTATCCCAAAACAAATTAAATTAAAAAATTGTTGTTATTCGAAGCGATCATGGAGGTGAATTTGAAACTACCTCTCTAACGAATATTGTGATAAATATGGTATTGAACATAATTTTTCAGCTCCTAGGACTGCATAACAAAATGGTGTTCTGGAGCATAAAAATCGTGTTTTAGAGGAGTTGGCAAGAACAATTCTCAATGATAGTTGTCTACCTACATATTTTTGGGTCAATGTTATTGGCACGACATGTTATGTCTTAAATAGGATACTCATATGTCCTATATTATACAAAACACCGTATGAACTTCTCAAGTTGAACATAATAATGCAAAAGTTTCCTTACTAGATAAGCATTGGCTTATGGTCATGCAAGATAAATTTAATCAATTTGAAAGAAATGACGTATGGGACCTTGTCCATCATCCGCGAGAACATCAAGTCTTAGACACCAAATGTGTTTTTAGAAATAAACTAGACGAGCATGGATTGATAACTAAAAACCAAGCCCGGCTAGTTGCTCAAGGATATAACTAAGAGAAGGGCATTGATTATGAGAAAACTTATGCTCTGGTTGCGCGACTCGAGGCTATACTCCTTTTACTAGCTTTTACATGTTCTAATGATTTCAAGTTATTTCAAATAGATGTGAAGAGTGCATTCCTTAATTGACACATTAATGAGGAAGTGTATGTTGGACAACCTCCATTTTTTTAAATCATAAGTGTCATACCCCATTTTTACCCCTAATATGTCTATTCATAACATCACATGCATTTACATCATAAATCATTCATTCATTTGAGCTCCTAAGGCATGGGATCAAAAGGCTCTTGGCATAAGGGTTTTTCCCTATGGATTGAGGTTGTTACCTTTATCGAGTTGATTAAATTGGTTCTCTCATCACACTTGGTATGAAATTAGGGTTTGGATCACAAGCATCATGGAAATTTTTCTTGGCAAAATTCCTCAAGATATAAGGTTGTCTTCATCATAATTTCTTCAAGGAACAAGTGCTTTAAGGTTCAACTTGTGTGCTTAAGATTTCATCATGATTTCAACTGAGGGTGTTATTGAGCTAGAGTTTTGTTCCTCTCACCATCTCCAGCCTTCTTCATCAATATGCACTCAAGATCCAGAGAATTAGGATTTCTCATATGATATGCCTAAGCATTGGTATTGGTTATTCAACAATGGTTCATTGTGCTAGATTTTCTCCTCGAGACTACAGGGATCGTCATTCTTTCTCCATTGTGAGTTCATCATCATCATTTAGGGTTTCTCCTAATCGCTTTATCTTAAGACCTTCCTTTGAAGAAGTTTAGAGGATTTAATCAAGGAATTATTTCTTGTGATGCTACTTGTCAAATGGTTAAGGATTGGTTGAAGTTTTCATCAAGTCAAGATGTTTCTTGTTGCTTAAGCTATAAATTAGGACCTCATCAACCTTTCTAATAGGATTTGTTTGCTTCTTGAATTTGAGATTCAACTGAAGATGAGGTTCATTGGTCGAGCATGACACAAAAGGCGTGTTTGAGAATTCGTTGTGATCAAGGCATGTCTCATGGTTTTGCAAGTAAAGTCCTTTCATTCAAGAGAAGTTCAACTTCATTCAATTCAAATATTCAATTCAAATTTACAAGGCATTTTTGTTTTCAAGTTTCTTTTGCTTATGATGCAAGTTTTGATTGGAAAGATATTCATTCAAAATCTTATTGTGCAAAGTGTCATATGGCTTACTTGATTACAAGTTCAAATGAGGTCAATTTCATTGTCAAGTCCAATTATTCATTCATTTCAAATTCAAGTACAAGTACTATTTCAAGATCAAGGGTGCAAAGTTGGAAGGGTCAAATATTTGGATTAATTGGAAGACAATATTCAATCAAGAGGTTTTGATATCCATGTCAAGTTCTATTTTCAAATGACATTCAAGTTGCAAGGCATAATTCAAAAAGGCAAGTTCAAAGTTTCAAATGACCATTGTTTCATTCAAATTCATCCCCATCCAAATTCATTTTCAAATTTTCAAGATTACAATTCAAAACATCATTCATGATATAAGAAAACTTCATTCAAGCTTCATTCAAAGTTCACAAGCTACAAGAGATTCATTATTCTATTACATTTTGAAAGATGACATAAAAAGAAAATTACATTACAAGTTAATGCTTAAACCAAACTTACAAAAGCTTCCGAGACCTACAAATTTACAGCATACTCAAAGTCCATTCAAGTTATTCAAACAATGAGGCTTACAATACAAGATATATATGTCATCACAAATTCATGGAAACCTACATCAAAACTAGTATACATAACCTACATGTCCATAGCATTCATCCATAAAAAACGGTCATGTCCATATGCTAAATATCAACACCAAAACCTGCTGCTATATTAACCCAGATCTGCATAAAATTCAAACAAAAACCGAACTAAACATAAACCAGTTGCATCCACAAACATGTGCACAAAACCAATCCGATCACATAAACCGTGACTACATAACAAAGCCCAAAAACCGGTTCACATGTAAACTGCCATTCACCTGACAAACAATTTCATAGTTCTGCTTCAAATATATAAAACCTGCAATTAAAAACCAATTCAGGAAATCCAAGTGTTAAAACCGGTGCAGATCAAGCATTGAAACGGTTCACAAAAAAAACCAATCTCATTCTTTCAGCTCAACTTCACAAATAGAAAAAATCAGAAAAAGAAGAGCAGGTCACAATTAGAAAAAGAAAACTAATTATCCAAACACTAAAATTAAGTTACAGCTCAAAAAATTGCATAACTAACTTCCTCAGGTTTAATCCTTACCATCAATCTCTAACAGACTGATTCAAACCAAGGGCTAGGATCTTTTTACTCATAACAAACTTTCCTCACTATAAGAGTGCTTCTTCTTCATTCATCAAAAAAAAAAGGAGACACGATCATTTCACCAAAAAAATCACAGAAAAATAAGAAAAACTCACCTTCCAATTCTCTCTCCATAACTGTTTCTGAAAATTCTTCAATCCTCAACCTACTGTAACCGAATCTTTAAGCTTCTTCATCAACTTTCTTCAATCTCTATCTCTTCAATATCAAGCTACAACAACTGCATCCTCTTCATCTTTATTGCATCAATCATCTTCATCTTCTTCGTATCATAGCATCTTTGGTGACGGAATGTCGAGTGAGGTGGAGTTGTCATGGAAGGGATGGACGAAGAGGTCGAAGTGACGGAATGTTTAGTCACGACTGTCTTGTGAGAACCATGCGAAGCAGCTGCGGTGTTTTCTTATTGTGAAGAAGAAGGAAGATCGTGTTTTCTGCAAAAGATGAATCGTCTCATCGTCTAATACCATTACTCTTAATTCACCTCCCCCTTAGGCCCGCAACACTTTTTTTGAACAACTTATTGCCTTGTGAACAAAAAAAAGGCTTATGGACCCTACTGAACGGGCCTTAACGCCTGAATTTTGTGCCACATACCCTTCCATAAACCCCTTCACACCATTTTTTGTTTGAACCTTGAATCCTGATTTAAAAAAACAATTATTGTTGGGCTCTGACTGGATTGGGCCTTGGTTTACTTCCTCAAACACCCCCCCTAAGATTCAGCTTTGCATCTCCCCAAACTCTTCTAAATTCCTTTTGATTTAGTTTTTTCTTTTAGTTAGAATTTTGGATAGAAAAAATGTTAAAAAATATAAAACATAGTAGAATGTATGTTAGAATTTTTAGGACCTTTTTTAGAATTTAATTGAACTTTTTTCCTATTAATTCCTGCATACTTTTATGATAATTTTCTACATTTTACTTTGATCTTGATGCCTTCTTGGAGATGATTTTTGCCATGATCTTTATGATATTGCTTGATGATGATATTACATGCCTTGATTGATTAATGAATTGTTGACTGCTTGCTTACTCTTACATATTTTCTTAGGAATATTAATTCAATTTTTAATCTCTTGATTAATTTGAATTCATTAGACCTTAGGTTCTTAATCCAAGCATGATAACAATTAGGAATTTGCTTAGTACCCTTTATCCAAACTCTAAGTCCATGGTGTATGACAACATTAGGGTAGATATGTCATCTTTCTCTTTCTCTTTAGCATTCATTTTTTTCTTTTAAAACAAAAACTCTTTCTTAATCAAAATTCAAAAATACTTAACACATAAAGATTAGAATCATATGACAACAAGTCTTAAGTGGTGGAAAAAAATGAGGCGGTACATTTCAAACTTTGTTCTTTCTTTCATTCATAGTATTTTGTATGATTCAAATCACAAATTCTTTCACAAATAAGTGGAGAAGTAGTAAGTGTCCCTCTATTGAGATTCATTTGCTATGATCCCAACAAAACACAAAACAAATTCAAATCTCTTTTGCCTTAGGGCTTTTCTTTTGAAAACTTTTCAAAAAGGGTTGTTACCCATAAAAAGACCAACAAACCAAAAAAATTTAGAAGAACTACGGTGGTCTGATTCTTTCGAGATACGTAGGCACGAGGTTGTAAAACCTAGGCGAGCAAAATAATTTAAAAAAAAAACTTTTTTTTATTCTTTAACAATTCATTCATGCATTCCCTTAGCAAGTAAGCATTAGATATAATACATTCTTTGTTTAGAATAACTTGAGTGGATCATGTGGAGTACCACAAATGTGAGGAGTGCTAATACCTTCCCCCCTTGCGTAAACGACTTCCTTACCATGTTCTTTGTTACGAGACCTTGTTCTTGCCTACTTGAGATTTACTCAGTATTTTCCTTTCCCTTTTTTGGGATAAATAACATTCAATGACGACTATGTTTGCGTCACTATTTTTTGCGGTAGTGATAATAAGTATTCTAATAATGTTTATAAGTTAAAATATGCTTTGTATGGTCTTAAATAAGCCCTTACGGCTTGGTATGAGAGACTTAGCAAGTTCTTACTTGACCAAGGATACTCTAGAGGGAAGGTAGATACAACACAATTTATTAAACATCAAGGAAAACACATAATTCTAGTTCAAATTTATATTGACTATATCATATTTGGTTCTACTAACATGCATTTGGTCTATGAGCTTTCTAAGCTTATGTAGGGGGAATTTGAGATGAGTATAATGTGGGAGTTGAATTACTTTCTCATACTCCAAATCATACAACTCAATTAAGGAATGTTATGTGTGTCAAACAAAGTATTGCCACAAATTACTAAAATGATTCAATATGGATGACACTAAATCAATTGATAGTATAATGCCAGAAAATGGTAACTTGGATAAATATGTAAATGGTAAGGATGTGGATGTGAAGAAATATAGAGGTATGATTGGATCTCTTCATTATCTTACTGCATCTAGGCCTATCATTATGTTTAGCATTTATATGTGCACCCGGTATCAATCGGCTCCTAAGGAATCACATTTAAAAATGGTTAAGCGCATCCTTAGATACCTTCACGGTACATATAAGTATGGGCTTTGGTATTCCAAAGGAAACAATTATAGTTTGGTTGGTTAATCTGACTACGAATTTGTCAGTTGCAAGTCGAATAGGAAAAGTACTAGTGGAACTCGTCACATGTTTTCAAATTTCTTAGTTAGTTGGCATAGTATGAAACAAGTTTCCATTGCTTTGTCAACATCTGAGGCGTAATACGTCGCAACGGGTAGTTGTTGTGCTCAATTTTTGTGGCTCAAACAACAATTACTTGACTTTCATATTAAATTTTCATGTATTCCTATCATGTGTGAAAACACTAGTGCGATTAACCTAACCAAAAATTCGGTGTTAAATTCTCGCATAAAGCATACTGAGATTTGCCACCACTTCCTACATGACCATGTTGAAAAATGGGATGTTGTATTTGAGAATGTTGATAGTAAAAATAAACTTATGAATATCTTTACGTAACCTCTTGCAACCGAACCACCTTTCAACATTCAGAGGGAATTGAGGATCCTTGATATCTCAAATGTTTAAATACATTTATTGCATGCACTCTATATACATCTGCTCTAACTTTCATTTGAGTGTTTCATACTATGCGAGTGCGTCCTCCATTTCGTTCATCTATGAGGTAGTTTAGTTCCTTTTTATCCTTGAAAGTAATCCATTTTCAATGCAATATTGTTTATGTTCCAAATGCTTGATATGCTCAATATATGATATATTTCATGAATGTTCACTTCCAAAAATTTCAATTAACAACCATGGCGTGTTATCAATTTATATGCTTATAGTGACTTCATGATATTTATTCTTTCTCATTTGAAGTATATGTTCTTGGTGTAGACGCATGTTTTTCTGTTATTATTCCTTGTATTTCATGTAAGTTGGTTATCTATTCATTCACACATGAATTAATTTGAGCATGTTTTCGTGCAAATGCAATTAATGATCAAGTCATGTCACGTGTTATAAAAGCTTATTTGGTTTTGTTTTTAGTAGTGATGTATTTTTTGCCAAGCTAGGCACATGCGTGTGCAGCATTAGGAGCACCATTGTGAAGTGTTGTATAAATGGAAGAATTTGCTAGTGCAGTTCATTCATCATCTTTCATGCCTTTGTATTTGTTATTATGGTGATGTGTATTTCTTGTTATTTATGTTTAGTTTTGTAACACTCCAAGTATATGGGTATATGTGAGTGCATGTTCCTTCTTAGCAAAAACACCTATGTATGATATATTAGTATTTGTATGATAAATGATACTTCTCATGGCTTGATTTGTCTCCTTTTGATGTTTTTAAAGGGGCGGAAGCATATGAAAGACGAAGTTGGGATGCATATATTTAGAGGGAGCCTTCATAAAGACATGAAATGCATCGTCGTAAGTTTTGTCATCATAAAAAAACAGAGTATGTGAGTGCACTTGCCCATTAGATATTTTGTATGATGACAAAACTATGATAACTTTAGCATTTTTGTATATTGAATGATATTTCTGAGTCTTTATATGCACCTTTGCAATAGGGATCTTAGAATGCATTTATAACATGTTTAGAAAAGGTGACATGCATTAAAAATGAGTTTTTAGATGAAAAACATAGTTATGTATCGATACATACAATGTATGAGTCGACACACGTGGATCAATAATAAAGCATATAGCCTTTGTAACTATGTGTAGACATATAGAACCCTTCAAGTCGACACATATTAAAAAATTTATCTGTGTCGACACATATGTATTTCAGGTCGACACATGTACATGTACTGCGTTTTTAAAGCGTGCAAGCTTCTATTTCCTTGTGTCAACATAAAACCTTGAACAAGTCGACACATAACTTATATGTGTCGACACATACTCTAAATTTTCTGAAAAATTTCATTTCTTTTCAATTTCTAAGTCTCCCTTTTTGCCTCCAACTTGGACACATATAAATACTTCATACATGCATCATTTTAAATTTGATGAAACTATAAACACATACAAAATTGTTCATCATCTTCAACCTCTCATCTATGCATACACGCAAACAAATTACACATAATCATTCTTTGTTGGGTGACATCTAGACTTGTGTTAATAACATTCAATTTAGGTTAGTGTAACCTAAGA